TGGTAAGCATCGATGGCGGTGGACTGAGACATAGAGGTTGAAGGTTTGAGGACCACTTCGCGGTTGGGGTTATGAGGAGGAAGAAGAAGAAGAAGATGGAGATAAGAAAATAAGAAGAAGCCGAGGAAGAAGAAAGAAGAAATAGGTGGAGAGAGAGAGAGAGAGAGAGAGAGAGAGAGAGAGAGAGAGAGAGAGAGAAAAAAAGAGATGAGAGAAAAGAAAAAAAGAAAATTATGGGGCGCGATTCTATTATTATACCAACTGCTGTGGAAACCAAGGAAAAAGAAATAGATAGAAACCCTAACATTTTTTTTTATAATATTTTTTAATTCTTTAAAAAAATAATAAATACTATTATTATACGAACTTTATAGAAGAAGAAGGATCAGTCTAATGGTATTTGAACATTATACTAACAACGTACCCAAAGTTTGAGTCCCCTAGTGCACACCAAATTTTTGCAATTATTTGGCAACAACATAGTGGCGGTCCGGTTTAGGTGTTGTTGGTTTGGGAAAATTCAAATTGGTTCACCACTGATTCGGCCAGTTCTCTTGTCGATTTCAATAATATTAATTACAAAGCAAGGCCAACTCGCCAGAATCGGTCCAGTTTGGCCGATTTGGTCGGATTTTTAGTATAAATGCCCAGCCATAGTAAAAATGTTTGGCCGGTTTGATTGGATTTTTAGTATAAATGCCCAGCCCTGGTAAAGAAATACATTATATATATTTAAGGAGCCAAAAAAAAGAAAAAAGTATTCATTAATACTAGGGCCATAGGTATAAGAATGATTATTCTTCTTCACATATTCCTTGTTTAGAGGGTTTGTAATGGCATTATCTGTAATTGGCTCTATGTATGAATGAACTCTCTTCTTGTTCGAAAAAAAAATTAATAAAAATTATACATTATTATATGTATTAAAATGGGTGAAGGGGAATCATGAATTATACATAGTATTACTAAAAATAGATTAATGTATATATAATATACAATATAGTATACATAACATACAACTAAATAAGATAATAAAAATTTGGGCTGGTCCCTGGACGGGGGAATGCCTCCTCTCAATTGGGTGGGCATTGTATTCTTGTGTGCCAGATGATACATTCACAAATGAGCGTATTTAGAAAGACGATTAAGATAAGGAGTTTATAGCTCAAATAGTTAAACGCATTTATCTCATGCATTCGACCCGAGGTCCTAAGTTTGATTTTTCCCTCCTCAAATATCACTTATAAAAAAAATGATATTTTTTATTTATTTTTATAATTAGCGATACAAGGCATTGGGGACAGTGGCGGATCTGTGTAGGCGCAGAGAGGGGCAAGTACAAAGAAAGCCATGGAGGTGGTGCAGATTTGCCCCTTTCCCAAAGTCTCTGGTGTGCCTTCCATCTGTTTGACAAAATGCCTCACTCAGACTCAGTGAAGATGAACTTTTGTTTTGATGCACACGGAAATTTTGTTATTTTAATTCCTGGCCAAAATAAGGGACCAGGAAAAAAATTGAAGAAAAGAAATCTGCAATATTCGTTAGTTCTTAACGTACAGGGGTATAAACAATTCGTATTTTAAAAAAAAAAAAAAAAAAGGAAACCTAATCACCTAAGCTACTGCGTGGTTAAAAAAAAACAACTTTAATCCTTAGCATACATGAAAAAAAAACAGAAAAAAGAAAAAAGAGAGAAGAAACCTAACCTAATGCAATAAAAGATCATTGATCCCATCACATGTAATCTAACTCCAAGTCTTCATAAAATCTGAATTGTATTAATTATATCGATCAAGTCTTGTGTCAAGAAAGAAAATATTGTATCGATCAAGTTTCCAAAGTAAGTTAGAATGTAATTCATTGTTAAACTAGAGCAAACATGAGCATGAAGAGACTATGCTACGCACGACTTGATATGATCAATTATGATTAGTTAGATTAATTTATAATTTGATATAAATTTTGATTTAATTAATTGATGTTTATTTAGTTAAATTAATTGATATTGGTTTTGGTTAGTATGAGAGTCAGCTACTAATATTGAAGATATTGACTAGTTGATATGTATTTTGGTTAAAATTGCACCTCCCCAAAAAAATCCTAGATCTGCCACTGATTGGAGAAGGGGGCATTTTCCCTGGGATTCGAATGGGTGACCAATGGGGGGAAAGGGGAAGGGACCTCACCACTGAGGTAAACCCCTCGGTCATTATAAAAAAGAAAAAAAAACTGATTAAGTAAGAAGATAATACTAATCTATTGGACCAAAAACAAACATGGAAAACATAATTTGCTTCATGTAACACTTCCAACAAGCTTTGATAGACACTTTGGTCGATTATAGTTTGTCGACAATTTTTTCTTCAACACTTTTTGCCGCCATCATAGCAGATGGCATTTAACATGTCCAAAGGTAGGTTGTTGACATATTCCACAAACTGATCCTTCTGCCTTGCATTTCTTGTCGCAACTATTTGGGTTTATACATTGCCCATGAAATGTGTTGCTTAGACGCAAGCATTCAAAATTAGGTTCACCACATTTCCACCAACCGATTAGCCCGTAAGAGTCGCCTGCAATTAAAGATAATAGAATTTAAACTTCAATCATTACGTATAAATTTCAAGTATATCTTTGAGAAATGTTCTTAAATATTACTATTAAGCCTTCACAAACTGTCTATAAAGAATATGCATGAGGAACCAAAATATCATTTTCTTCTCACACATGTATGAGCTTCAAATGGATTAAAGTTACTTGCCCATGTTTGTAAAAAGCATGAGGAAAATGAGTGCAGAAAGGAAACAAAAGAATATAGGAGCCTTGATCATGCTCTCCATCGATCTTGAAAATCTATAGCATGCAAGGAAGCAAATCTTTTGCTCATGTAGTTATTTGCACTCTTATAGGAATAATTGTCTGAAATTCGGTGTTTGAAATTCTAGGAATAATTGTTATATGATGTTTTGTTTCTTTTATGATCATTAGGAAGAAAAAAAGAAAAGAAAAGGATGTTGACCATTTTGAACAATTGTACAATGTCACATGCCCTTTAGTTAGCATATAACTTCAACTTCAAAAAAATTTGATGCCTTGAAGTATATATGTATGGAGGGAGTTCTAATTGACTAGGGCCGACCCTAAGATTTTGGTGACTCGGGGCAATGCCAATAAGAAGGCCCTACTTACAAGTGAAAATTTATTTCAAAATAAAACACCTATTAATGAAGCTGTTTCACATATCAACACTTTTCTAACTCACTATTGGTATCATAATAATATTTTATTTAAGAAATGGAAGCATAAGAATGCAAAAGCTTATGTTTGGAGTCCACGTAACTACAATTACGTTAAATAAATTTTGATGGTTCTGTACTCCCTAATGGTAATTATGCTGCATCATGATTTATCATTAGAAATGAAATACAATGGCGCAGGAGCATTCCCGATTGGATATTCTTCAGTTCTACAAGCAGAGGCACTAGCTTTAAAGCAAGCCCTTATTTGGGCACAAGGGCTAAATCTCAAGAGAACAGAAGTCGAAGGAGATTCTAAGATGCTGCAATCTATTATCGGAGATATCCAACAACTGCTACATCAATTTCATGACTGCGAAGCAAATATGATGGCACATGAACTTTCTAAATAGGGGCATACGGTTTACGCTAGTTGTATTTGGTTTGGAAATTTCTTACTGACGTTGCACTTAGGATTAAGTTTGATTTGTATGGTTATAAGATCCGTAGACGATCTAGTTCATAATTTATTTTCTCTCTTATTTTACTTGTGGGAATGTTTAAAATTTTTATAAAAATGCTATGATTGAACACAAGAAAAAAACAATCAAAGAGATTGAAAAAAAATGACGTTTTTAAGTAGTAGAAAACTCCCAAGGAAGGAAGAGGGGTTGAACATGAACCCATCAACCATCATATAAAAAAAATGACTTCTTTCTTAACGCCAGTAGGACACGAACACGAATTTGGTTCAAGTAAAATCGAAGAGAAACCATTGCTGCAAGATGGAACTTCAGAAACCTTGATGTTAGCTTCTTGTAATTGTATATGGTCCTTGAAACTATTAACTTGTAATTGTATGAAGCAAACTCATTTCACATTTTCTCAATGATCCTTATATTCTCAGTCCTTACATCTCATGCTTGACCTGATTGTGTGTATGATGATGGAATTTTGAAATCAGTGTGTTTAAGAATGACAAATAAAGAAACTTGAGTTGATGGGATTGTTAATTTATCAAAATTTATTCAGCATAAAGGAAAGCCGCAATTTGCTAGTTTCCATGCTTTCCAATCTATTCTCCTTTTCCTTTGATCAAATGATTCATTTCATCCAATCTGTATTTGTTGATGGTCTTAGTTTTCCATGGTTATTTTGGCGAGTCAGACACTGTTAATCGGAGATCTTTTCTCACTCGTGTCTGATACTTTTTACGTCCGTTGTAGAGTCGAGTCTGCTCTGATTTACAAATTACAGAGTGTGCAGAAATGAATCATACATTTTGTTTTTTTTTAGGTTTTTTTGATGCCCAAGTTAGGAAATGGGAAGGGGGAAAACAAGTTTAGTACAATTTACTGATTCGGCGTCATGCTGCACAAATCTGTTGGTAGGGCATGGTAGAGGCCGTCTAAAACTGAATATATTAAGAGCAACTCTCCTTAATTGTACCGAAAACTTCTGAGATAAAACTCCTCACCTAAACACACTCGAAGGGTGATCAAAATGTGGACATATACGTATCACACGTATACTTTAGATGATGACGACGTATTTCACTACCACACAAAATGAAAAACTAAATATTTTGCAGAATAAAAAACATTTTGGCAATTGATGTAAACCAAATTAGATTAATTTGATAATGATTATGGAAATTTACAATCAAATTAAAAGTACTAATCAGTATATGAAGATATATAGTTGGTGTCCCTTTGAATCCTTCTATTGATGAATGGTTTAAGGTCAAGAGAGTAGCTAGGAATGAGCAATTCAAAGGTCTCCCAAGGAAAGGGAGGCCCACGGAACCTTTTTTTAATTTTAAGATCTCAAACAAAACAAAGATAATGAACCAAAAATAAGAAAACTTACAACAAAGTGAAGATTCGTTTAGACCCTAACAAAAGTCCCATCTGCATGAATTGTAGCATTATCTTTCTGAATAAACATATTTTCCAGGTGCAAACCATCGTCGTTGCTGTATGCACCAACTGCCAGAACACGCTGAGGTTTGAAGGTTCCGCACTCCCAAACCTCCCCATGAAAATCAAATTCTGCTTGACAAAAGAGATATAATGATAAAACCAATTAATAGACGACAAAGCCTACATGCCAAGAACCAAAGGTAACACTGGCTGCTATGTATTCCCCCTCTAACTAATACATTTCCTAAGTTCGACTAGCAAGAGTTATGCCTATTATCTCAGAGAAACCTCATTCGATCTACTATTATTTGTGTCCCAAAAAATGAGTATCCATCTCTTTGAAATTTTGATATTCATAAGTGAATTCTCTAGACACAAAGATATTGGATGATATTTGAACCCAGGCAAGGATTGGAAGGATACATACAATTGTATCCCCATCGCCAACACCACCACTTGCATCACAACAGCCATGCTAACTACCTCTAAAATCAGTTAAACCTGGAAGATGTCTTCTAGAATAACTTCATTTAACGGAGTATAATGTCCCGCATAACCTGAAATAATGGATCGACGACAATCATAAGTACATAATGTCCCCGGATTATCTCATTACTGGAAGCAGAAAAGAAATTTACATAAAGGCATCATCAGATAATTTCATGTGCACCTAGTGACATGCATTACTACAGCTTCAAATAACAATGATCCTATGGTGTTTCATCAATAAAGTACCTCGAGTAGTTCTTTAAGGCTTTCAATATATAATCCCACCGACTGTGAACTTTGAATAAAGAGATCCTGCATGCAAATTTCACACAAACATGTCAAATAAGTTTTTTTTCTTTTCTTTTTTTGAATTACTTTGATAAGTAAAAAATCTACAATCGGAAAATTAAAATGCATAACAAGCATACATCTTTCAATAGAGTCAAAACAATGCGAGCCACAAGAAATTGTTTTCCTGTTTTCTTTTAGTTATTTGAAAACACATGAACCATCACTCCTATATTTGGAGTAACGTATACGGAAAATACAAGAGACATTTCATATTTTTTTCCCACTTATAAGGCTATATGAATGGCATTCGTGTTCTCCAACAATGGAAGGAAGGAGAATGGTATAACACTTAAATGCTATTAAAAGGACAACGTTAATGTTTTGGCTAGACTGAAACGAGACAATTGTTAGATATACTTATTTCTAACTTATTTAAATGGGATACAACCTTTGATCTTGAATGAACAGCAGGATCTGTACTTCGAGAAACAAGTCTGGCTAGGGGAAGCATCTCAGCAACCTCAGCTCTAGGAACTTCCCCATAGAAGATATGACACTACCCAGATACCCAGCCATTGCCCTTTCCAACAAGACACACTTTTCCCTTCCAGCAGGGTTGCAATGTCACGTGCCAGGCAACACATATTTTCCCTGAAGCTCATATCGGCTATTGCTTGCTCCAGAACTGTTTTCTCAACAGTGATCTAAATAATGGTACATTAACAAGTACCAATGTTAGACATGTTATACAGAAAAAACTGTAGTTGTGTATAAGAAAGTAACACAACACGGAACCCCAAATAAGTGAAGACAAATTATTGTTGTTTTTAATGTATTGATCTAATTCAATCCAAAAGAGTTTGAAATGGCTCTAGTGCATCATTCATTTACTATCAGGGACATAAATCAATGTCATTATTGTAAATCTAACCAAAAACATTGAAATAACAAATCTTGAAATTCATAGCAAGTGAAAACAAGTTGATTTAGTTGATATGTCATGGTTAAATATACTTAAACGAACTGCTGTTAATTTCTGGGATATTTACTAAGGCAGGAGAATCAAGAGCATCTCAACTGAGCAAAAAGAAGAAAACTAACCAAGTATGGAAAGCACAAGAAAACTACGCATGACAAGGGCTTTACCTAGTACACCACTGAATTTCAGCAGAAGTATAGATAGCAGTCCATGGCCTCTTTGTTTCTGAAGATTATGCTGAATTTCTGCCTGAAAGCAAACAACCAAATAAACATTTTAGAATCTAAAGGCCACCAAGTAGAAACAACTACCACAGAATAATCTATTTATGAAGCTTCAATCAGATTATGATTTCCTTTAAAAATTATAAAAATTGTTTTTAAAAAAAACAAACAAGGTTATGATTTCACTGAACAGCATAACCCAGTTAGAATGAGCAAATAAATAGAATGGATTCAAAAAGAACAGCAAAAAACCAGTGACATTATCACCCAGAATGGCCAAGGAAAAAAATTGCACTGAATGCCAGAAAAACTGTTGACAAATTTCAGGGATTTTTCACCTCTGAGAAATACCTTGAAGTGATGACTAAAGATAATGGAATACACTATCTACTTAAATTGACCTTACAACAGTTTCTGATCTACTCTTGAAGGTGATGGAATAAACTATAGATACATTTGATTTACTTGCAATAAAAACGGTTTCTGATCTATGTTATGGACAAACCAAGCATAAAAACAAAGCAAATAGGGGATAGAATGGAAAGTTTGAACTAGATGCATTAAAACTTTTTACAATTATTCTATCTTCAAATCAATACAACAAATAAACAAATAAAATAAAGATAAAAGTTCTTAAGCCGCTAAATTGATATGAGATAAGGATCCTATACCTGACTGGAGATTTTAATCTTTTTGGAATAATTCTTCACTGCTTAAGAGAAAGGCTTTATATGGAGTCAATGACCCTAAATCAATTAGCTTTGCATTCATCCACAAGCTCCAGAAATTTTGCAACCTCAACAGATCTCTTCATCCAACTTTTGCATATTGGTCGGTTAAGGATCTCAAAAGTTGCCTCATTAGGTTGACAGCCTTCTAGAACCAGAATTTTCAATAACGAGAAAATGTCTGAGTAAGTACCTCTCTGGAACATTGCCTCCAATAGGGTATTGTAAATTACAATACTTGGGGCAATCCCATTCTCTACCATTTCATCCCTCAGCTTAAGAGCAACAGATGCCTTTCCTTCCTTGCAGAGGCCACTAATTAAGGACCCATAGGTAAAGAGATCTGGTTTTAGTCCTTGGCTGTACATGTCATTAACCAATTGATTAACCATCACTTTATTGCCCTCTCTTATGAAGGCGCGAATAAGAATATTATAAGAAGTTGTATCAGGGAAAAATCCAGTGTTTCTGAGATGCTTAAAAACCTGTTGTGCAATTCCAACTAAACCATTCTTGCAAAGGCTGCCTAGCAGCACATTAAAAGTGACAATAGTGGGACTAGAACCATTGCACGTCATGTAATCCAAGAGCTTCAAACAGTCTGAAAATTTTTCAACCCTACAAAAGTACTGAATCAAACAATTCAAACTAACAGCATTAGGCTGAACACCTCCATTCTTCAGACGACTCAATACCCTCTGGATCATGGAATGCTTTTTCTGTTTGCATGCCACAGACAAAATCGTATTAAAGGAAATCACATCAGGCCCATTTTCATCCCACTTAAAGCAGTCCAAGAGCTTCAAAGCCTTGGAAATGTTATTTTCTCTACAGAAACCCTTTAAAATTGTGTTAAATGACACATTACTTGGCATTAAACCTTCTTCCATCATTTTCTTCAATAAATATAGTGCTTCTTTTGATCTATTCTCGTGACATAAACAATGGAAGTATATATTGTACACAGCAACATCCACATAGCAGCCCCTTGTAATCACACCAAGCAATAGTTCACAAGCAATTCCAATCTTACCTGTTTTTAACAGGCCTCCGCCCAAAGCAGCATATGTGTATGAGTTGGGAGAAAATCCTTTGTTCTCAATCATATCAAGTAAGTGAACGACTTCGTCCACTCTATCTTGAAGACAAAGTTCATGAAGAATCACATTGTATGAGATCATATCTGGTTCACATCCTTCCCTTTCCATCTTAGCCAAAAATTCTAATGCCCCTGCAATCCTCCCTTCACCACAAAGAAACTTAATAATTATAGTATATGTTATTACACTAGGCTTACATCCATCACTCTCCATTTCATTTAAACAACCAAGAAGATCTCTCCACAAACCTTCTCTACCAAACCCATACATTAAAGCAGTATAAGAGCACGCATTATGTACAATGCCCTTCCTCTTCATCCAATAATACAATTCCAAAGCATTATAACTCTGACCAGATTTACACAAAGCCCAAAGTATAGGGTTATAGACATAAGCACCAAAAAAATGACCCTTACTCATAAGAGCACAGCATACAAACCACACCTCTTGGATCATCCTGGCTTTACTGAGCTTAGAAATCAACAAACTCAAACTGGGTTCGGTCGGAAAATACTCCAACTTCAACATAAGCTTAAAAACACCAACTGAGTTAACTAAATCCCCAACTTGAAGCATCTTTTTCAAGATTTTCGACAAAGAAGTAAACGAGGGTAAGAACCCACCTCCAACCATCTTTTCAGCAATCACAAAAGCATCTTTTAGATGTCCAAGTGATAGCATACCATTCAAAAGCACATTGAAAGTCGAAGAATTTGGGGTGGGCCCGAATCTTTCCATTCCATGGTAAACCTGAACCACATATTCTAATAATGCACTTTGTGACTTTAAGTAAGAGTAAAGCAAAGCATTGAAATCGTACACAGTGGGTTTGCCTGGCACATTTCTCATTGAGTTCAAAAAGTCCAGGGCTTTTGCAAAGTTACCAGAGGAGGCATGGCCTTGCATGCTGAGATGTAATTCGTGGTAGCTAGAGTCATTGGTATTGGTTGTTTCATCAATAAAGTCCATAGCTTGAAGTGCAGATAATGATGATGATGATGATGAAGAAAGTTTTAGAAAAATAGGAAAACGCTTACAAATTCTGTGGTGTGAAAATCGAGTCGGCAGACAGAGCATGGTTCCCGCAAAGTAGGCCAAAGAAGTAGAAGAATGGAAATCTAAGTTGCTACTGTTACTTAGGGCTTTCTCTAATGAAGCACGGATACGCATGGAGACCAGCGTATCCCGTGTCTGATACGCAGCGGATACGCGATGATACGCACGGGATACGTATCCGAGTCAACGGATACAGTCAATCACAAAAGGATACGCGTATCTGACATGACAGATACGGGTATCCCAATTTGAGGATACGATTTAGGAAAAAATTTCAGAAAAAAAATTAAAATTAGAATTTTGACAGAACTAGGAAATCTTGAACAACATGGATACCTGTTTTGTTTAGGAACTTTGAAGATCTTTTCCTAATTGAATTCCTACAGACAGATCTTCATCTTCTTTATATAAATAAAGAAGAAGGAAAACCATACCCGTACCAGCAATTCATCTTCTTCTTCTTCTTCATCAAATCTTCTTCATCTTCTTCACCACCCAAATAAAAGAAGCTTGGTTCTTCAATTCATCCGTCAGTTTGGTATGTTCACCTCTCTCTCTCTCGATCTGATAGTGTTCTCTTCTCTCTGATAGTTTGATTTTGAGTTGTTCAAATAATAAAGTGATGTCGTTTTGATTGGAACCCAACCCAACATGTCGTTTTGTACAAATTAATGTATTATTATTAAAGTGACCCACTTCTCAACACAGCCGACCCACTCCTTTTGTACAAATTAATTTATTATTATTATAAATTTTTGTTTTTGCCAACTTATTATTATTATATTTCATATATATATATATACTTGCAAGTTCACATTATTATATTTCATATTATGTTGGAATTTTAAAAGGTTTTAAAAATTTAACCATTTTAT